TTTACATAGATAAAATATATATATATATAAATAATATACAAATAATATAAAATATTTAGGGCACTATATTCATCCCTTTGCCAAATGTTTAATTGAGAGAAGAAGGGATAAAATATTAGTAATATAAGAACTACAAAATGTCTTTCAGGGCAGAAACCATGTCTTTGTCAAGTTCCACATCCCAGGCACCAAGCAGGTGTTAAAGGAATGTTCAGCTCCTTCAGACTTACCATTTTTGAAGAATTAAATATGTCTAATGTGCAAATTAGCCAGAGAGATACTGTGTTTCTGGAAACCATGGAATTTAGAACAAAAGCCATCCTTGTTCTGCATGTCTGGGCCTTGATGCTTTTTAGAAGGCAGTGATGTTCGTGTTAAATGGTCTCAATTTCCTGGACAGTGTAAATTGTACTTAATGTTGATTTTCAAAAACAGCTGTTTAAACCTCACATATCCATACTTTTATTTTTCAGCTTCTATTACCTTACCAAATCCTAGTTTGTCAGCATTAGGAAGAGTGAAGGAGCTTAGCATTCTAGGGTAATTTTTTTTCATTGTGATTTAAAAACACATAACATAAAAGTTACCATCTTAACCATTTCTAAGTGAAGAGTTCAGTGGTGCTAAGTACACTTCACATTATTGTACAACTAATATCCACACTTTATCCTGTAAAACCGAAACTCTGTACCCAATAAATAAGACTGTTTCCCTCCTCCAGTCCCTGACAGTCACCATTCTACTTTGTGAATTGACCACTCTAGTACCTCATACAGGTGGAATCATAGAATATTTTTCCTTTTATAAACTGGCTTTATTTCACTTAGCATAATGTCTTCAAGGTTCATCCACCTTGTAGCATGTAACAGGATTTCCTTTTTTAAGGTTGAATAATATTCGACTGTTTGTGCCACATTGTGTCAATCATTTCATCTGTCAGTGAACACTTGAGTTCATTCCACCTCTTGGCTATCGTGAATAGTCACAATTTACAATAGTCCACTGTGGCTATGCAGATATCTCTTCAGGATCCTGTAGATTCTTCAAGATTTATCTATATTCTTTTGGATATATACCCAGAAGTGGGATTGCTGGATCAAGTGGTAGTTATATTTTTAATTTTTTGAGCAACTTCCATACTGTGTCTAGAGTGTTTGCACCAGTTTACATTCCCACCAGCAATGCTCAGGGGTCCTATTTCTTGACATCCTCGCCAACACTTTTTTTTTTTTTTGATAGTGGCCATCCTAATAATGTGAGGTGATAATCTCATGGTTTTGATTTTCGTTTCTCTAATGATTAATAATGTTGAGCATCTTCTCATATGCTTCTTAGTCATTTGTATATCACCTTTAGAGAAATGTATATTCATATCCTTTTTAAGATTGGGTTATTTGGGTTTCTTATTGTTGAGTTGTAGGAGTTCTTTATATATTATGGATATTAATCCTTCCAGTCATTTTGAATAATTGGTGGACTGTCAGATTCACATGAAAATCTAAGGTGACTTCTTTTCAGCAATTTGAGTAGCCCAAGTGATTTTTCCTCTGTGTTCCATTTCTGAGTGACTGCTGTCATACCACGTCAAATCAAGCTATGTACCATGGTCTCAAACCTTGCCTCTTTACATACCCAATATTTGAGTCTCTTTCCTAAGCCTTAAAGTGAGTAATAATTGGTTTTTTCTAATCTCAAGCTGCTAGTTTTTCTAGCTTGCTATACCCAGGCTGTGTGGGTCTGAGTGTTTCCAGAGGTCCCATTGCTGTAGACTGCCAGTATGTAGGAGCTGTTGTAGAAGTCTGCCTCCTAAGTAATTGGAGATGAAAAGATGACTGTGGTCATCCCTGTGGTCTGGGAAGTTGATATGCATATACTCCTCTGTGGTATATGAATGCATGTACATAACATGTCCCTCCCTAGGAGTGTTCACCCGCCTCCCTCATTGCTGATGGCAGAGTGGACTTTAGCTATGGATTATAGCCCTCTTTTCGGTTACCCGTTGGCTTCATTTCCATTAGGACCCTTCATGGCCAGAGGTGTTGAAGATCACAGTAAAGCTAAGACTGCCAGTTCCACCCCAGGATGCAGAGGTGGGTGGGGTGTGACACCTCTGCCACCAGCCACCCCTCAGGGCTCTGTCTCTCCCTGCAGGTACTGTATCTGGTTGAGAAGGGAGCCGTGATTGAGCACGTGGACCACAGCGGCATGCGCCCCTTGGATAGAGCCATTGGTTGTCGAAATACATCTGTAGTGGTTACACTGCTGAGAAAAGGAGCCAAATTAGGTCAGTGAACACCTCATCTCAGCAGCGGGAGAGGGAGGTTCACTTCAAATTCTAGAGTATGTCCGGGGCCATAAAGACTTACCTGATCCCAGGTTAAGAAGATGTCAGGTGCCTAGAGATTTCTTTTCTGTCCTCTACAAGGCTCATTTAAACACAGTCTTTCAGAATGCTTAAATAACTCATGACATTATCACTGCAGTGTGGGTAGAAAGCAGTGGCCAATGTTGAAGACCAGTCTAGAATTGTAGGGTGTTAGGGATGCCCAGGAGCCACGGCAGTGAGCAACTCCATTCAGCTCTTCGGGGGAGGCTGGTTATGTGGTTAAGAAAGCTCACAGGTGGCTCTGCTGAGCAGCTGAATTGGCGAACCACTGTTCTGGAGTAGTCTAGTCGGGTAGGGTAGCCACAACTCCAGCAGTTTCTGTGAAGGAAAGTTCATGGGATTTTACTGGAAACTAGATGGGGGAGGGGTGTCACTGAAGGATAATGACAGGGCAGAGGGGACGCAGAGTAGGAAGAGCCTCGTTCTCTGTGCTTGGTCGGAGCGTGAGCCCCCACTCACAATGTGTGGGTAAAGAGCAACAAGAACATGGCTCTCGTAGTTTAATACGCCAGACCTTCAGCCACCCGCAGCCCCCAGGAGGGGACTGTGGCAAAGATGAACAGATCTGATGTTACTAAGCAGTTCACAGTACCAGTAATTATTCTGAGCAGTTTCATGTTTTATCATAGTTAATCCTCACCTACCCTCTAAGTAGGTAGAGATAACACCATCATGTTGCAGAGGAGTAAACCAAGGCACAGTGGAGGTAAATAGCTTCCCTAAGGTCATGGTAATCAGCAGAGTCAGTGGAGCAGAGTAGTCTGACTCTGAGACTGTCCTCTCTTAAGCATTATTCCCTGCACGTGCTCAGAAGTGGGGCTGGCGGCTGGAAAAACATGAGCTGTGACAAGAGGGCGGACTAGCCAGAGCCAACCTGTCTGGGCAGATGCAGTATAGACTGCAGCAGAGAGCGAGAGGCTGCTAAGAACACGTGCCTTCACTCACCAGCAGACATGGGCCCTGCAGGAAGCTAAGGAGATTATTCAGAAGCCATGTTTGATTTTCCCCAAAAATCCCAGCAGAAGGGAGGGATGGGCCTGGCTGCTCTGACGCCTTGGTTTCCCAGCACTCTTTTCATCAGAGTAACACGTGCACGGGGTACAGCCTCCTCCCAGGAGCCTCATTCAGCGTGAGGCAGATTGGAAGGGAGACCAACTCCTGGGGGTCCTGCTCCCTGTCCTTACTTGTACTGTTGTCTGGAGGCTGCAGGACACAGTATGCTGCTGTCTGTGACCTGGGCTGCCATCTGGCCCCAGCAGCAGTAAACTCCTTCCCTCCCGGAGCACTGACGTGCCTCTGAATGCATGTTTGTTTTGCAGGAAATGCTGCCTGGGCGATGGCTACTTCCAAACCTGATATTTTGATTATACTTTTACAGAAATTGATGGAGGAAGGAAACATGATGTACAAAGTAAGTGGTATCGCCCTTTTCTGGGATGTGACAGCCTACGAGCAACCTCTTAGTTTGGTGTGGACCGGGCAGGACCATGCTCCTGCCCACCACACCTGTAGCCAGGCTTCCGTGGACGCTCTGGGAGATGCACACCTGGCCTCGTGCCCAGGCTTTCATGTCTCCACAGCAGAGCCTTCAAGGTGGAAGACACTATTCTGTCGTTGAGAACTGTTATTTCTGAATGAATCCTCACAGCTATGACTGTGACGTATGGCCTGAAGCCTTGGTGTGAAGGTAGAGTAGCCTCAAGCAGGACATTCCTTAATTCAGGAAAGGGCCACTCAGGAGACATTTTCTGAAGAAAAGAATCATTAAGTCTCCTAAGACTTTATTATCTTATTTTTAATAGTTGTAAGCTTCTGCAATTTGAAACAGTTTCTAGAGATATTTTTACTTAAGATAGTCAAGGAATATATAATACTCAGTTACTGGGGAGATAATTTTTTCCCCATTTTCCCTTAGAAATGGAAATCTAAAGATTAATAAAAGTAAACATTTTAAATAAAATTTGAAGTAAAATTTCCAAAATAAGCCATTAGTTTAGATCAGAGGTCAGCAGACTTTTTCTGTAAAACGCCAGACAAGGAAATAGGCTTTGCCATATGGTCTCTGTCACTGCTCCCCAGCTTTGCTGCTGTGGCATGAAAGCAGCCACAGGTGATACAGAACAGATGGGTGTGGCCATGTCCCAGTCAAAGTGCATTTGTAAAAATGGGTGGCAGGCGAGATTTGGCCCAGAAGCTGTAGTGTGCCCACCCCTGGCTTAGATAGATGCTTAGGCCATAGACCTAGATCACTGTTCTTTCCAGGTCTGTAATTAGACAGAAGTAAAAGTTCTGAAAATAAAACAAAAAACTGCATTATGACCATTTTAATCCTTTTATCAGGAGGCTGCTGCATGGACTGCATTTAGTTTTTCCCTTTTCTTTTTTTAATAATAACAAATATGTAGGCAAAAGCACGACCCAGCTGGGTTCCTGACTTGTAATCCGTTTGAAATTGAGTTCAGAGTATATGTTGTTGTGGCTTTGAAGTGGTTTTAATATGAATTTTGGTAGGCAATTATGTTAGAAATATCAAGCCATTTTCAGCAGACTTCACACCTGCTGTGCTATGGAACTGACTGAGCAAATTGATTTCTTTAGCCTTGAAAATGATGTGCGGTGCTGTTCCAGTTTTTAAAGCCCATACTTTAGTTCCTCTCACAAATGATTATTTTACAGCAAGCTCTGGGTTTCTCCACAAGACTGTACTTGCCTTGGGAAGGGCATCATTTCTTTATCTGATTTCTATCGTTACAGTTAGCATTAAAGTATTTGTCGAGGAAGGATCATTCCTGAAATGGTTTTCAAAAATATATAACAGAGGATAATCTGATGTATTAAGATTGATGGTTATCAATTAGGCAGTTTACAGACTGTTTCCTAGAAAACCAGTTTGTGCCTTCCCCGTGAAGCACGTGGTGCAGAAGTCCATGCGGACAGTGAGGCTGTGCGGGCTCATGCTGGTCAGGGCTCTGTGTCCTCTGCAGGACCCTTCCATGTGCTCGGATGGTTTCTGTTGCGGGATGAGAGGGACGCGGAAACCTCACCAGGGTCTTCAAGTTGCAGGAGGCTGTTCATCTTGAAGCATCCGGGAAAGGATCAATTTCTGTGCTTTTTTTGATTCCTAGAAAGGGAAGATGAAAGAGGCAGCCCAGAGGTACCAGTATGCCTTAAGGAAGTTTCCGCGGGAAGGATTTGGAGAGGACATAAGACCATTCAATGAGCTAAGAGTTTCCCTCTATCTCAATTTGTCTCGCTGCCGAAGAAAAACGAATGTAAGCTGTGGGCCCTTACCTTAGTCTGTTCCTTTAGCAGTAGAGTGTTTTCTAGCGGTGAAGGCCAGCCCTTATGCAGACGGAGTCACGGAGCCTCCTGTGTGGTTTGTTTGCACGGTGCTGTGAACTTGGCGTGTGGGGGGCTGCTTCTCCTTAGGTGGCCGTCACGTGATCGCCGTCACTGCGTCCGTAGAGTGCTGAGGGAATGCACTTGGAAGGCACTTTCCTCGCCTCAACAGTGACAGGCTAGCCGGCTGCCGCTCCTCCCCTTGCCAACGTGCACTTCTGTCACGGGCCACCCTTCCCAGACTCAAAAGGGTGCTGTAAAGTTCAACACGGGTGTGTTACAATCCGTATGCCAGTAACCGGTTAATTTGTAGTTCTCAGTAGTTAACTCATAGTTAATTTGTAAACAGAAACTATAGATGTGCTTCAGTACTTCTTTCTCCTGCTTTTCGTTGCTGTTGTTGTTCATTTCATCTTCTCACCACCGAATCCATTGACCGCCTGCTTCTGTGCCCGCGAATGCGGCCCACCTTGCTGTTGCAGTGAGTGGGCGTCTCCGTCCCTCTTGGAATCTGACCCTCCGTGCGCCTGCGCGTTGCATGCTCCCCTGCCTTCTGGTGCGCTGCTTCTACCCGCTGTCCCGAGTCGTCCGTTTTTACTTCTCTACTGGGTTCTTCTCTTAAAATATGAAAAAGCATTAACTATCTCCTAACTTTACTTATTTTAAACTCCTTAACTTTAAAACAAAATAAGTAAAACTTATGTTGCCCTTTACCTATTCAGTTACGTCCCAGTTCTCTGCTAACCTTGAGAGGAAATCTGTTAAAAAGATGTCTGTACTCATGTCTCAGTGCTTCTTTTGACTCCTGTATTTAAATGTTGACACCAGGACTTTGGCATGGCAGAAGAATTTGCTTCCAAGGCTCTCGAATTGAAACCAAAGTCCTATGAAGCCTTTTATGCCAGGGCAAGAGCGAAGAGAAATAGCAGGTATTGTCTGGGGTCTGATCTAGGACTAAGGAAGCCTTCTTGTGTCTCTTTGGTATCAGAGCTGCTGTTGACTTTGGGAGTTTCTGATTCACCAGCATTGCTCTAATGACTCTCCTCCCTTTTGATACTAAATTGGTAGCTTCCAAGGGGCACAGCAGTGGATATTATCAGTGATGGCTAGACTTTTGTTTTCTCCTGACATCCCAGTAACTGTTCCTTCCCTGCACACTTGCTGCAACACAGAATCCCTATTAGTCTGTGCTCACAGGGAACCTGCCAGCTAGAGACATTAGAGCAGGGGAGGTGGGGAAGGGAAGAGAGTCCTATAAGGCTTTTGGGTTAGAGATGGACACGGTGAGAGGCAATGGTGAAGAAAACTAAGAGGATTCTAACACCCACTGGTTTATGTCTGTTCCTGCTCCTGGGCCAGTGGTGGTTAGAGATGTGTGGGCCCTGGCATGGTGCAGGTGTGGGTCAGCGTTCACTCCCACCTAGTGGAGTAGCTCTAAGCTCGTGTAGAATAGCTCCTGTCCACCACAGTAGGTGTGCCAAACTCACTCAGCTGCCTTTTTTTTTTTTTAAAGGTTTTATTGTTAAGTAGTCTCTACACCTAATGTGTGGCTCAAACTCATAACCCCAAGATCAAGAGTTGGGTACTTCACCAGATGAGCCAGCCAGGCGCCCCCCTCCCCTTCTCTTTCTTTTCAGCAGAACTGTTTTATGAACAGTTACATTGGGAGCATGCTCTCACGTGGCTCCTAACCGTATCCTCTGCTTCCACGTATAGGCAGTTTGCCGCAGCTCTGGCTGACCTCCGGGAAGCTGTGAAGCTCTGTCCCACCAATCAGGAAATCAGGAGGCTGGTGGCCCGCGTCGAGGAGGAATGCAAGCAGCTCCAGAGGAGCCAGCAGCAGAAACAGCAGTGCCCAGCGCCAGCCCCACCCAATGACTCCGACAACGAGGAGGACACTCCGACCCCTGGGTTAAACGACCACTTCCATCTTGAGGAGGCTGGGGAAGAAGAAACTTCCTCCCAGGAAGAGTCTATTTCCCCACCGCCCAGGTCTCAGCCATCCTCCTGTGTCCCCTCTCCGTATATCCGAAACCTTCAAGAAGGGTTACAGTCCAAAGTGAGGCCGGTGTCCCCGCAGCACAGGCCAGTCATCGGTAAGGCCCCGAGGGAAGCTGTAGCTCCGCCCGGGCTGGTCCTGCAGCCCACCCGGCAGGCACAGATCGTGAAGACCAACCAACATCTGGGTGCTGGACAGGCCGGCGTGAGAAACGGTAGCACAAAAATGCAGGTCGCTGCTCAGAATCCTCCCCCGAGCCCTATGCCAGGTGGGATCCCTGCAGCTCCTGGTGGTGGCAGAACCCAGCGTTTGGAGGGCACGGGCACTTTGACTGTGGGCTCCGGGTCTGGCCATTTTGGAGAGAGGCTGGGCCCCAGTCACGGTGTCCAGCTGCAGCACAGCGAGGGCGGTGCTGCTTACCCCTTACCGAGCAAGGTAAAGACTGCAGAGAGGCTTCTGTCTCACGCCTCCGTAGCCGTGGATGTAGCCCCTCTCAACCAGGGTGGGCCGGTGAGCTGCGGTGACGGGCGACACCCGGCTTCCCTCACCAGCTCAGGCTCTTCTGGTTCTCCGTCTGGCAGCATAAAGATGTCAAGTTCAACCAGTAGTTTGACTTCAAGCAGCAGTTTCTCAGATGGCTTCAAAGTCCAAGGACAGGATGCTCGCATTAAAGACAAGGTTGTTAGCCAGGGTCAAAGCGGGACAGCCGAGCACAGACCACGCAGTACTCCATTCATGGGCATCATGGATAAGACTGCAAGGTTCCAGCAGCAGAACAATCCTCCAAACCGTACCTGGCACTGTCAGGTGCCGGAGGGGCTACTGCTGAACACGTCCTCTGCAGCCGGTTTGCAATCCTTGAACTCTGAGAAGCCCTCTCTCAAACAAGCAGGAGGATATAGTAGCCAAGCCAAAACCTGTGCTGTTTCTACCCTGGGTGGAAGTGTCCATAATGGGTCACAGGTGAAGGAGCTAGAAGAAAAGAAATGCCAAATTCCAGTCCACTGTCAAGATAGCAGGATCACTAAGACTGTTTCTCATCTGTATCAGGAAAGTATCTCCAAACAGCAGCCTCATGTCAGTAATGAAGCTCACAGGAGTCACCTCCCTTCAGCAAAACCAAAGCGATCATTCATAGAGTCAAATGTGTGAGCCTTAAGAGAGACGCATATGTGGGATTGGGGAAACCGTGTGCCACCTCCTGGTGGTGATTCAGAGGTTTTTCGTGAGAAAAATTACCTTGTAGCCATGTATTTTTTTTTTTTTCTTTATTCCTTGGGGGTGGGTCAGATGCCACTGATATATATAAAATATGGGATAAAATTTCTTTGATAAATAGCTAGGAGTCACCATAAATAAGAATGCTAACCAGAATGAAAATTTATAATTAGTTATGCCTATTAAGTTAAAAAATTTAAGACCACCAAGAAGACATTAACTCATGGTTTTCTCTTATGAAATTGGTTTTTACCACTTTTCTCCTAGCGTTTGCTATGTGGTAAAATCATAATATTTCTTAGAGAATGTAAATGTCTAAGTGATAGGTTTAACTTATGACAAATATCCAGATGATGTATTCTGGAAAAGATGGAATCTTCAAGTTTCAGTTCTATTGAGTCAAATCCCAGTTTTTACACATAAATATATAAAAATTTCTGGCTGAACATGTGTGACTATAAATGTTATACAGCTGATTCTTTTCATTTTTTTTTAAGCAAAATACAAGAATATCCAAGTATTGTTACCTTCATAGTAGTTCTCTTTTATTTCCATGTTAGGGTTCTCACTAAAAACATTTTTATAGCACCTTTTTGGAATTATATTCCCACTTCAAGGTGTTTATAATATTTGGAAATAGTATAAAGCCATTTGGAAGCAGGATTGGTGGTCAAGTTGGATTTGGACTAAACTAAGGATACAGCTTTCTTTACGATATGTAAATTCGCTCTCAGCTGGTTCCCAAACTGCTTTTAACAATGACACCATTCCTGGAACAAGCCCTCCAGGGTCCTTTAAGGACAGTATTTAATTTGGATAGTTAAGGTATGGTTAGTTGTTACTTTTGTTTCATTATACAATCATTACTTTATAGTCACATGTTGTACATATTAAATAGCCAAGTTGTATTCTGACTTGTAAATATAACTATTTCAAGTAGTTAATCATAAAAAAACCTCATATATTTGCATGTTCTTTGTAAGCTTCATTCATGCTGGTTGTTGCACTGAACGATATATTACTATGGCATGTTAACAGTATACCAGTAACAGCACTTTATCTCATTTATATGAACACCTTTGAGGTGCTACTTAAATCCTAACTGATGTATTATTCATTTGTAAAGATAAGGTACAGCAATGAGCCTTGGTTTAAAGGTATTTTTATATGAAAATGGTGTGCTATTGGAGGATGTTAAAATGCTAGTTTGAGAGAGGTAGGAGAATAGTTGTTTTATATGGTGGGATGTGAAATTTATTTTCTAGAATTGGGGAGAAGTAAGTTCTATATTTACAGAAAGTTTTAAAAATGAATTGTTGTAATGACGTTCCTCTGAGCATCATTATGGTTTTGTACGAACAGGAAATCTGGTGTCATTCTTCAACATTTGTGCCTGAGTGTGAACGGTGTACTTTGTACAGCTTTATCATTTTTCTAGGCTTTCCCTGAGTTCTGCTAGAAGTACTTTGGCTTATTTATTTGTTGTTTTCTTTAATATTTGTGAAAGTCTTACTCTTGTTATGTAGTTTTGTTTCTGCACAACTACTGTACTTTTCCATATGGAATAAAGAGTATTAATAGAATTTGTTTTGTATTAAATGAAACAGTGGATAAGTAGAGACTATCCTGAGGACAATGCTTTGCCTTGGTTTAATCCTGGGGGATCTTGTTACCCTCAAGAAAAGAGTGAAAAGTCTATTTTTATAGTAATACTACCACATGCATATTAAATGTCATTCAGTAATAATTTCAGAACAAGGGGGACAGCTCCAAGAGATCCCAGAATACTCAGTGGTTAACATGAATCTTTTTGCCTGAACTAGGAAGAGCATTCTGTAATTCTCTGTTCCAGAAATCTTGGTGTCTGTTTTGACAGGGAACAGGATCCCTTTAGTACTGTCAGTCACTCTCAAACACTTTGGTCAGACACCAAACTCTGTGTTGGTGATGAAAGTTCTTCACGTTTGTATCATTCAGTTAGTCTTTATACCCACATAGTTCTGTATCAGGGTAGGATAAATGAACATCAAACTGGGTTGTACTGGTATAAAACCCTAATATGCAATCTGGTACTGCTTCAGCTACTGTCTGGGTGTGGCTGTTACAGCAAGGCTGGGTATCTGCAGCCCTTCTTTAAAGCTAAATATTAAACTAGTTCAAAAGCAAAAACAAAAACAGGTGGGAGGAAAAGCATTATTGGCCCATAAGTGTTGAATGCCTTTTGCTACGAAGCTGATGTGACTACGGGAATTTATTATAGACTACGTTATGATTTTGACATAGTCTTAAAGATATTTGGTCCAGTTCCCCCAGAAAGAAGTGAAGTCTTCCTGGGAAGCTCTGGTCAGTCCTGAGAGCCAGTGAGCGCTGCTCCCACGAACATCTGAGTGAACAGTTGGGCCTGGGAGTGTAGCTGAGGGGCCTTGTGGTGTCCCTTCCTGTGGATGGGTTTGGATTTTGGTGTGGGAGCAGGGAGGAGGCGCTGTCTGGCTTTGGTTTGTGTACATGACTAGAAGTACTTCACTTTAGTAAGTTACTGGCATCTTAGTTTTCAGCCACAGGAAACCATGATGGTGAAATGTAGAAAAGAAAATCACCTTTAACACATTTAAGAGATAACCAGTCTTTTATTGTGTTTTCTATCAATGACGTCAATAATTTTTAGTAATTTTTATGTAAAAAACTAGTGTGCCTCCTTTGGAAAATAAGTCTACCAAAACAAATATTTGGCCCATTAGTGGACTCTAGGAATTAAAATCTTTTGTTAAAATTAGGTTAACATACTTTCTCTATAGAATACAATAGAAAAGTACCTAATGCCTGTTACAACTTTTTTTTGGTCTTCACTCAAATGTAAGCAGCATGGGTGGTATGAAAAAGAAAATCCTCTTGTAGAATCACAGATTGTAAATCCCAGCTATGACACAAAGGAAATAAAATTCAGTAATACATTAGGATGACAGAAATTTTACAAAGCAGTTAAAAGATAATTGGGAGATTTTTGTGGTAGCTAAGCTTTCCACATCTGTAAACATGTAGCATATTAGCTGTAAATTTATAAAATATAGGAAAAGAATATATACATAATTACATCACTCTTCCCCTCTCATTTCTGAGTTTTTGAATTTTAGAACAGCTAAAATGAGGGTTTTGGGGGCAAACACAGAATCTTGGTTCCTGCCTTGGTTCCAGTTGAGTTCTGACCAGCCTTCCCACTAATGGCTTTCATTCTGGGAAACAACTTACAAAAGGTATGTGAAGTCAATACCACCTCAGCTTTGTGAACTGGAAGTTTTCTTCTTGTGAACGCTTATCAGGATGTTGTATTAAATATCAACCTATTGTGTAAAAATGTATAGTTACCCTAGCTTAGGATATATGAGAACTTTAAGGATTCTGAACTTTAAAAGGAGGCCAATTTAGTACTTTATTTCAACAAAGTCAACTTGACATATTCATGATAATTGATTCCATCTAACTTGTACACAGGTTTGGACTGCAGGGAAAAATCACTGCCACCTTGCAAATTTAGAATGCAATAAAACTGCTCATTAAACATGTCCAGGTGATTTTCCCAGTTTAGTCATTTTGCTACAATCTAGTTATTTTGCTACAAATTCTCTCTAGAAGGATTCCAAAGAGTTATCAAATTAATGGCTATTAACTAGGATTTTAATGTTATATTCTAGATTATTCTGATGTTTGGTTTTAATGAGAATATGACCTACATCTAGCAAGAATCAATTTTGTGTATTGCAATTTTAAGTCAAAGTAAAACTTTATTTCTCCACAGATAAAGATATCTTTCACGTACAAAAAAGGCTTTTATAGTAGGAAAGGAGGTCAAATATGTTATTTTGTCCATATAATTCAAAGAATAAGTTTTTACAGGTAAGTAAATTCGCTTTTCTCCTGTTTTGCTTTAATATCTGATTAGTATTTACCTTGAAATCATTCAAATGAGATCACTGAAAAATATATACAATATAAACTATTTTATTTTTGATGTGTCTCCAGCCATCGGCTAATGGCCATTTTCAGAGTCCTGTTTGGTGTAAGTACCACTGAAGGAAGAACAAGATTTGTCATGGGACTTGTACGTTTCTTTTTGCTGATCCAATTTTCCATTGCTTCCTTTTCATATGAATAGCCGTCTAAAAAAAAAAAAAAAATTATTTGCAATTTCGGGAGGCTGGGATTACTAAAATGAGTTGGGTATACCAGCTCCACTGCCAAGGCCATCACTGTGATTTAAGTGGGAGTCTTGTATCACTACTCCTAAAATACTTCTGCCACAACACCCTAAATATTCCTTATAAGATGCATTGAGATTGTATAAATTACCTTGAATAGTGTCAATATTTTACGGATAATTTTGAACACAAAAAGTATTAAAGAAAAAAGGAGAGACCCTGTCCAAAATTCAGATATGGCAGAAAGGAAGAAAGGAAAAGAGCCAGGGAAAGGTGAGTGGTGGTGATGATAAATGGCTTCATTAGAGCTGTTAGCGACGTGTGAAAATTAATATGGCTAAAGAGAAGAGCCTTAGGAGTAACTCAGCAAAACCCTGACATACTGAAAACTCAGGGAACCAGATACCAAGAGATTATAAAACTCACCCCACTAAGGACTTGACAGTAAAGGGATTTGTGATTAAAAAAAAAATTCCACTGGCTAATCCATGTGCTTAATACCACATCTGTGCAAAATTCTTTATATGTATAGCAAAGGTAAAGTTTTGTTTTTATATATGTATATACTTTTAGCTCTTTCACAAAATCTTCCTTCCTAATTACATTTACACAATTTATTTGCTTTAATTTATGATGCGTACAACAGTTTCAAACTAACAGTGCCAATATATTGCTAACATAAGACTGAAAGAAATTGCGGATTTCTTTCTGGCTCTTTGTGTCACCAAAAATAGATCCGGTAGGGCTTCTAACTGAAATACTGTGAAAATCACTGGGGTAAAAAAAAATTCTTCCATTTCATTATGTCACCACTTTGACATACAACTATGTTCATTTGCTTCCCTCTTTATCCTCTCACTTTTTAGATTGGTTTGTCTTTCATGATTTATCTCTGTAAAACACTTAAGTGAATTCCAAGTAAAAACTATAAAAGAAGGTGCATTCGGAGGAGTCTAATCAGTCTCTGTTCAACACCTGTTCCCTGCCTTCCCATACAGGGAACTATGTACACTTCTGTTTATCCTTTTGTTTTTTGAAAATATAAGCAACTGTATGTGTACACACAATACAAACATTCTTACATGAGAGCTAGCCTACTGTGCACTACTTTGTACCTGCATCGTTTTCACTTAACTGTAATTTGTTTTATTCCTCCCCTCCCCCCACAGTAGTCCACTGTATGGATGGACTGTATGGAGGCATTGATGGGCATCTCGGTTGTTTCCAACCTTTGCCTTGTACAAATAGTGCTGCGATGGACAGTCTTGTTTTTGGAGAGATTCCAGAAGTAGGACTGCTGCATTACAGGGTATACGTAATTTTGCTAGATATTCACTAGATAAGAGTATATATAATTTCGCTAGCAACATTAATAAGAATGCTTTCCCCCCCCCCCAAGAGCTTCATCAAAAGAATATGTTGTCAAATCGGATTTTTACCAGTCTCTCACGAACACTGCTATAGGATGTCAGGTAGCTTTATTTTGAGGGAGCTAGAATTTTTTTTTTTTTTTTTTTACATTTAAGAGCCATTTGCTTTTCTTTGTCCTGTGAACTGTTAATATTTTTGGTTTTGGCCCATTTTTCCATCGAGTTGACTTTGACTTAGGAGGATTTTTTCCTTTTTAAACATTAAGATATAATTGACATATTAGTTTCAGATGCACAACAATTCTTCACTATATTGTGCAAGGATCACTATAGGTCTCATAAACATCCATCATGATGTACAATTACAATTTTTTCCTTTTTCTTGCGATGGGAGACTTTTAAGATTTCTGTTACGGTTAAAGGGGAGAGGAAGGTACAGGCTTCCAGTTAAGGAATAAGTCATGGGGATGAAAGGTACAGCACAGGGAATATAGTATATATTATATATGGTATAGCATTCATTATGCTCTACTTATCATAAATGTATATAATATATATACTATACATTTTGTAATAGTATATACATTATATAATATATATGTAATACATTATATATTATATATACGTTATGTTTAATATATATTATATACATTTGTGGTAAGCAGAGCATAATGAATGCATACACTTGTTGCAATCACTATGCCTCACAAACTGTGTCAGGTAGACTTCAATTTTTAAAAATCTTAGCAAGTTTCTAATATACAATACAGTATTATTAACTATAGTCACCATGCTGTACATTATATCCCTAGGACTGCTCATGTTATAACTGGAAGTTTGTGTCTTTTGACTACCTTCACATTTCAGTGGTTGTCAGAGATGGGGGGTAGGGAGCCAATTTGTTCTCCATATCCATGAATTCAGTGTTTTGTCTTAGATTCTACATGTAAGTGAGATCAATGGGTCTCTTTCTCTGACTTACTTTACTTAGCACAATGCCCTCAAAGGTCTATCCATGATGGCACAAATGTCAGGATTCTTTTTTTTTTTTTTTTTTTTTTTTTTTTTTTTTTTTTTTTTTTTATGGCTGAGTTACATTCCATTGTGTACATATATATTTTCTTCATATATTCATCCACTGGTGGACACTTGGGTTATTTATGTCTTAGCTATTCTAAATATTGGCAATGAATGTGGAGGTACAGACATCTTTTCAAGTTAGTGACTTGCTTCCTTTGAATAAATACCCAGAAGGGGATTGCTGGATCATAAGGTAGTTCTATTTTTAATTTTGGGGGGGGAATCTCCATATTCTTCATAGTGATTGCACCAACTTCCATTCCAACAAAACAGTGCATAAGAGTTCCCTTTTCTCCACATCCTCACCAACACTATATTTTTTATTTTTATATATTTTATTTATTTTTTTTATTCTGCCTCCCTTGAGAGAATGTGGACCCATAGTTACTGTATTCTCTATCCCTTGGTCTCTTTTTGGTGTTTTTATTTATTTATTCATTTATTTATTTAAATATGAAATTTATTGTCAAGTTGGTTTCCAGTGCTCATCCCAACAGGTGCCCTCCTCAATGCCCATCACCCAATTTTCCCTCCCATCCCCCATCAACCCTCAGTTTATTCTC